CCTTGCCAATGATCACTACAGTGTTGGAGCCTAACCACTGGACCCTTGGCACGTATGAGGGCTGGATGCCTTCACGTGAACCAGAGGATAGTTCTCCCACCCAGGTTGTGCAGGGAGAGCAGGGCTGGGGCCTTAGCTGACCTGATGGGCAACAAGCAGCTGGTGAGAGAGGGAAGAGCAAGTGTGGCCCAGATATACTCTCTGGTGGTGCAGCTTGGTCTGCACTTGGTGAGGCATGTTTTGGACCTGGCATATAGTAGGTGCTCTATCAGTGAGAGTGCCCCTCTTGCTGCTTTCCAGATCTCCTTTCTAAGCCACAGGGCAAGGCCCATAGGACCTTTGGGGGCGGGAGGCCTGTTTCTGTTGATGCTTGGATATTCAATCCAGATGAACCTGTCTTCATGTCTGCTGTCTACAGTATATTCACTGTGTGATCTTGTCATGCACCACCACCACTACCACCACCATCACCACCACCACCTCAACCCTCTCAGCACAACAGGACCATAAAAGCACTTCCTTCCTGTAGCTGCCAAGGGGATAAGCAAAAGAGGACATGGGTCTATCTCAGGAACTTCAAGTTTGCACATGGCCAGTTACATCTTCTGCAGATTGGACTTCCCTAAGTCACTATGTCAGTAAGCTCACTGACCATACCTCAAAACCCAGAGGAGTCAGCTCTGTTATCCTCATTTACATTGGAGGCCACTGACGCTCAGAGGGGTGAAGTGGTCAGCCGAGGGTACGCAACAGAGATGCCATGTGAATGGAGGCCATCTGCTGGCTGCCTCTCTCAGACTATAACTATGGAATTGCGACTATTGCATATGACATGAAGAAGACTAGCAGGGTGAGGGAGAGCTGGTAGCCAGGGGACTATGTGAGCTGGGATGTCAGGAGAAGCCTCTCTGAGAAAGTAAGTTAATAATGTACCAGGGAAGAGTTTTCTCAGCAGAAGGAACAGCATGTACAAAGACCCTGAGGTGGGAAGGAAGGTGTCTCACTTAAGGACATCTGAGGAGAGGTTTGGAGTGGTGGGTTTATGGGAATCTGGGCTCCTCTTCTCACACAGTGACAGCTGTGTAGCTTTAGGTCAGCTGCTGTATGCTTCTCAGCCTCTCAGTGTCCTTGCTTCTTCTTTGTGGGACTGCTGTGAAGTTGGTGTGAGCTTGAGGACACATGGATGCCTGGCACTGCCCTTGCCTGCCTGGGTGTCCTATGAGCCAAGGCCATGTGTTGCTGTGGTTTGCTTGTGGTAGCCTGCTAAATCTCTGTTTGTTTTGGTGACTATCACCACCCTGGGCATACCTGGACAGCCCTGGGTGGCCCAGCCAGCTGACATCTGTGGCAAACACTAGTAGCAGCTGTGGCCTATTTCTGGGCTGTCTCCATGGTAGCCTCACCTACTCCCTCCAACAGCTGGCAAAGTGCCCCATGGGGCCTTGGTCACTACTGATGCAGCCCCAGTGACTTCGATGGGGTGAGTGGGTCATCTGTTCTAATGGACAGTGGGTGAGGAGGCCAGCACCCACAGCTCTTCACACACTGGCTGGCATAGTCTGATCAGGCCCTGACTGGCCACTGAGGCAAGGCCTAGCAGTGCCATGGCTGTGTACACAGCATTGGGACCTGGTGTCTGGAAACCCCAGGGGTGCCTCTTGGAGCTGTCTTGTTTCCTGGTGGTTTGGGGACAGCTAAGCCTGGGTCTTCTCTTCTCTGAAGTAGCAAGTGACGTTTCCCATCACAGTACCAAGGACAGGAGAGGACTATGCTTCCAACTACCTACTTGTGCTGGGCCCTACCTGTATACTAGGCCTAAGAGCTGTGGGCACCATGAACCCAGTCCAGAAATGAGGCCCTGGCCACTGAGCTGGGACTGGCAGAGGCCACATCTGAGCTCGGTTCAAAGGAACTCCATGAAGCTTCTATAGGTCACATGTGGGCTATTCATAGATCCCTGGTGGCTGGCATGGCTATGGGGCTGGGGGCACAGGGAGGTTGGGGTTGGGGGGATGCTTCTGTGAGAACATGGTTTATAGGGCTGTTTCTGCTCTGGATGGTGTCAGGGAGCATGCTTGAGTTTCTGCTCTGTCAGCTTGCTAAGTGGCCTTGGGCAAGTCACTCCTCCTGGGGATGGAGCCACTTGCAGGGGGCATCTGGATCTGAGACTCTACATGCACTCCCAGACTTGTTCTTAGTCATTGTGTTTACCGGCTCCCGGCTTCCTCCTTACAAGACAGCGTGGGGATACTCCCTTAGCTGCCTCAGCCCCCTCAGCTAATCCTGCAGGGCATGGACAGTGGGGTACAGACATGCCCAGCCCCTGTCCAGTCCCTGAGGCTTTGGAGGGATCAAGACACAACCTAGCACCTACTACAGCCCAGGGTGGCCAAGGTACCCTAGCTTGTGTCTGCTAAGGCCTCCAGCCATCCAATGAGACAGGTGGGGATACTGAGGCTGGTGAATGGCAGAGCCAAGACCTCCATGGGGGCTCACCTCAGGCCCCCTTTCCACGCTCATTGTGACTTTTAGGCGTTAGTGCTATACAGTGAAAAGGGCAGGGACCTGGCCCCAAACCTGGACCATATTGACTGGCCCTACTCACTGAAGCCATGTGCTAGGCTACGGAAGGTGTGCAGTATTGGCCTGGCTATGTGGCCTGGGGAATTGTGGTGAGAGGTGTGGCTGGGAGTCCTATCTCAGTAGCTACATAGAGCTGCTGGTCTGGGCCTTCCCAGCTTGCACAGAGGAAGTGTTGTTTGGTGTCAATCCTGGGTTCTAGCCCTGGCCCCTACACAGTCCCTCAGGTATCCTTGTTCTTGGCTCTTACTCATCTGTACGTCTCCCTGCTTCACATTTTAAGACTCAGGTTACAGTCAGAAAAGGAGAATATTGTATGACCTCACTTAAATTAAACGAACAAACCAAAACAGAAACAGGCAAATGTATAAAGACTAAAATTTATTAGTAGTAGTTATCACGGGTGGGAGAGAGGGGAAATGGGAGAAGGGGTTTTATTGCTTATGGAGTAATGGGTTTTTGGTTTATGATTTTCTTAGTTATCTAGTGCCACTATAACAGAGCTATCATAAATGGGTGGCTTTAACAAACAGACACTTATTTTCTCAAAGTTTAGGAGGCTAGAAGTCTGAATTCAAAGCACCAGCTCTAGGGGAAGGCTTTCTGTCTCTGTCAGCTCTGGAGGAAGAGCCATGTCTCTTTGAGCTTCTGCTTCTGGGTGATCTTCGTATGGCTCTTTTCCCCATCTCTTCTTACTTGATTGCTTTGTTTAATCTCTTTTATATGTCAAAGTTAACTCAAGACACACCCTACACTAATCCTGACTCATTAACATAAAGACAACCTACTCCCAAATAGGAGGAATAGAGGTTAGGATTTTCAACATATGTTTTTGGGGAACACAATTCTCAATTCATAACACCCACTCATTGCCATTGAGTCGATTCTGACCCATAGCCACCCTATAGGACAGAGTAGAACTGCCCCATAGGATTTCCAAGGCAGCCTGCCTCATCTTTCTCCCATGGAATGGCTGTTGGATTCAAACTGCTGACCTTTTTTGGTTAACAGCCAAATGCCTTAACCACTGTGCTACCAGAGCTCCTTAATCCATAACAATAGCAATAGGAAAAATCACGTTGATTAAAAGTAGGTTGCACAACTAATTAATATATTTACTCTCAATAAAAGTTAATTAACAAAAGTATGATAGATTTACCAAAAAAAAAAAAGAAAAGAAAAAAGAAAGAAGGTAGCTGCTGAGGCTGCTTATATACAACCAAACACCTCATGGGATTTTGTTTCTTGGTTGAGAGATTTAAGGTTATGGTTTCGTGAGACCGAAACCAAACTCAACCCACTGGCATTGAGTTGATTGCAACTCATAGCGACCCTACACAGGACAGAGTAGAACTGTACCATAGGGTTTCCAAAGCTGTAAATCTTTATGGAAGCTGACTGCCTCATCTTTCTCCCATGGAGTGGCTGGTGAGTTCGAATTTGGGCAGCAGCTGAATGCTTTAACTACTGTGCCACCAGAGTTCCTTTTCATGGGACATCCCAGTCAATTGGCCTAATACTGTGTTTAGTTAGTGCTTTTGTCCTACCTCCTAGTTTGTTGCATAGTGCCTGAGATCTTAAAAGCTTATAAGCAGCCATCCAATGTACAGCAATTGGTCTTTATTTGCCTGGAGCAACAGAAGAGGAAGGAGAGTCAGGAATAGGAAAAAGAAATGGAGTGTATACTTAATTGCCTCCATAAACAACTGCCTCCTTTGCCATGTGACCAGAAGAACTGGATGGTGCCTGGGTACCATTACTGAACATTTCGATCAAAGATTCTTTAGAAGAATCCTGATCAAGAGGGGAAAAATACAGAATTTCAGATGCTTATGAATTCCACGCTTTCTGGAGCCATGCAGGCTGGATGAACCCCTGAAACTGTTGCTGTAAAATAATCTTTAAATCTTAAACCTTCAACCAAAAATATCCCTTAAAGTCTTCTTAAAACCAAAGAGTAGTTTAGCATAACTAGTAAAGAATGTCTGCTTTGTGCATTATATTTTTAAAAATTCTATCTACATGGGATTAAATTGACAACCACTTGAAAGGAACATTAGGGGGCAGTAGGTTTATGTTGATGGCAGAGGAAGAACTCAGAAAAGGAGGGTGAGAATGGTTGCATAACTTGAAGAATGTAATAGATGTCATTGAGTTGTATGTGTGGAAATTTTTGAATTGGTGTATGTTATTGTGTACATTCTCAACATCAACAGAGTAAATTATTTTGAAAAAAGACTCAACTCAGTCTCATCTTGAGCCACCGGGGTGCCCATCGTGGCACTGACGTCACTGACCTTGATCAGGTTGAGGGCCAGAGCCTGTACCCTCTGTGTCCCAGCATTGCCCATCTTTGGGAGGACTATGGGATGTTGACTGACTGAGCAATTAATGTGATGCCCACCTTCTCTCTCCTTCAGGAAAATCTAGGAAGAAGAAGGATTTACGTATATCCTGTGTATCCAAGCCCCCGGTGCCCAACCCTACGTAAGTCTGTGTTTCTCCTTTGGGCTCAGCCTGGAGAGGAATCCCGAGGGGGCTGTGCCTCAGCCTCAGGGAACGTCCTGTGCAGGCAGCCATGTCGGGGCTCATGAGTGGTCCCACCCACTTCTCAATTCCCTGCTATAGAAGAGGGAAACAAGGTGCTGTGTGGGTGGCTGGGTGGGGTTTTACCCTGAGTGAGTCACTCAGGCCTTATACCTGGCATGTGTGGTTGATGCTGAGGACTGTGAAGTGAAGGGATTTTAGGACCAGAGCCTCCTCCCTCAGGCCTCTGGAAAAGCTCTGGTTCCCCCAGGCCAGTTTGCTCTTCTTTTAGAGGGTGTGTGACTTTCTGAGCTCATAGGATTTTCTTCCTCCTCATAGGCCTCCCCGGAACCTGGATTCCCGGACCTTCATCACCATAGGAGACCGGGTGGGTACTGTTAAGTTGTTGTTGTGTTTGCCATCGAGTTGGAGCCAACTCATAGTGACCCCTCGTTGGGTTTCTGAGGTGTTACCTGTATGGGAGTAGATTGCCCCACCTTTGAGGAGTGGCTGGTGGGTTTGAACTGCCAGTCTTCTGATTAGCAGTCAAAGGCCTTAGGCACTGTGTCACTGGAGCTCCCTTGTTAAGTTGTAGAAATACTTTATATATTTTATACTATATAAATGCATATAAAATACTTTACATATATTTATGTATTTTAGATATTAAACTCTTTATTGGATATATGGTTCCCAAAATTTTCTCCCAATCTGTAGGTTATCTTTTTACTTTTTTCATAAATCCTTTCATGAATCAAAGTATTTAATTTTTATGCCTTCCCGTGCATCTATTTTTGTCTTTTGCAGCTCATGTTTTTCTTGTCATAGCTGATAGCCTGTTGCTAAAAACTAGGTTCCATAGCTTTACTCCTACATTTTCTTCTAAGAATTTTATGGTTTTAGTTTTAAAATTTAGGTGTTTGATTCATTTTGAATAGGTTTTTGTTTGATGTGAGGCATGGATCCTGATTCATTCTGTATATGGAAATCCAATTTTCATAGCACCATTTGTTGAAGAAACTCTTCTTTCCCCACTGAATAGACATAGCACCTTTGTCAAAAATCAGTTGACCATAGATGTATGGATTTATTTCTGAACTTTCAATTCTATGCCATTGGTCTATATGTCTATTATTATACCAGTATCAGGCTGCTTAAATTAATGTGGCTTTATAGTATGTTTTGAAATCAGGAAATGTGAGTCCTCCTGCTTTATTCTCCTTCAAGATTGTTTTAGCTTTTATGGGTTCCTCACCCTTCCATATACATTTGAGGTTGGCTTTTCCATGTCTACAAAGAGGGATGGTAGAATTTATTTAAGTCTTATTTGAGATCTTTGAGTCTTGTTTTATAGTCTGCTGTCTTTCACCTTCTTGGTTAACTTTATTCCTAAGTACTTTACTCTTTTAGATGCTATTGTAAATGGTAATGTTTCCTCAATTTCCTTTTCCACTTGCTCTTGCTGATTTTTGTGTGTCGACTCTGCCATCATGCTGAATTCATTTATTACTTCTAATACCTTTCTTGTGGATTCTTTGGGTTTTTCTGTGTATAAGATTGTATCATCTGTGAAACCAGATAGTTTTACTTCCTCCTTTCCAATTTGTATACCTTTTATTTTTTCAAGCCTAATTGCTCTGGCTGGAATTCCAAGAATGATGTTGAGTAGCAATGGTGAGAGTGGGCATCCTTGTCTTGTTTGTGATCTTAAAGGGGAAGTTTTTAGTCTTTCTTCATTGAATATGATGTTAGCTATAAGGTGTTTAGAAATATTTTTCATCATATTGAGGAGTTTTCCTTCTATTTCTGTATTGTTGAGTGTTTTTATCTTGAAATAATGTTCAATTTTGTCAAATGCCTTTTGTTCATCAACTGAGATAATCATGTGGTTTTTTCCCCTTCTATTAATGTGATATATTACATTGATTGATTTTCTATTGTTGTACTATACTACCCTTGCATTCTTGGGATAAATCTCAATTATTATATAATCATTTTAATATATTTTTAGATTTATTTTGCTACTATTTTGTTGAGGATTTTTACATCTGTATTCATAAGGATTATTCATCTATAGTTTTCTTGTAATGTCTTTGTCTGGCTTTGGTATCAGGGTAAATCTTACCTCATAGAATAAGTTATGTAGTGTTTCCTTCCTTCCTTTTCTGTTGTAAAAGTTCCAGTATGATTAGAGTTATGTTTTTTTTTTTTTTTGGTAAATGTTTGGTAGAATTCCCAGTAAAGCCACATGGTCCAGGACTTTTCTTTGTTGGGAGAGTTTTGATTACTCTTCACTTTTTATGTGTTTGTTGAGATTCACTTACTGAGTCAGTGTAGGGAGTTTATGTGTTTCAAGAAATTTGTCCATTTACCATGGTCACAGGGCACATCAAGCTCAATTGGCATAACATACTACACAAAAACATTGTTCTGCATCTATTTTGGTGAGTAGCAACTGAGATCTTAAAAGCTTGCAAGTGACCATCTAGATGCAACAATGGGTCTCTCCTCATCTAGAGCAAAGAAGAGTGAAGAAAACCAAAGACACATGGAAACAATCAGTCCAAGGGACTGGTACATAATGCGATCCTCAGCTATGACTCTGAGACCAGAAGAACAAGATGGTGCCCAGCTACCACTGTCAATCACTCAGAGGGGGATCTATGTAGGAGATCCTGGATAGAGTGGGAGAACAATGTGGAGCAAAAGTAAAAATCATTAAAAAAACAAACAAACGGGGACCAGTTTTGCTGGTCTGATAGAGCCTGATGGAACCCCTGAGACTATGGCCCCTAGCTGCCCTTCAGGTCTGGGATTGAACTCACTCCTGTGGCTTCCAGCCAAACCAAAGATAGGCATATGAGCTGAACATTAGGTAGATACATTAGGTAGATACACTTCTTGGAGAGATCAATCATAGGAGAACAGAAGGGCTGTGTATGCATAGGGAGACAGCTTGGGGGCAAGAGTGCATGGGAGGGAAGGACACAGGGAAGAGGTAACTATGGGGAAGAAGTGGGAGGGGAGCTGTTGCATTGTGGGAAATTGCAGTCAATGTTATGAGACAAAGTGTATGTGAACTGCTGTATGGAAAATGAATTTGCTCTGTAAACTGTCATCCAAATCACAATAAAATTTTTTTTAAAAAATAAAAGAAATTTGTCCACTTCCTCTTAGTTTATCTAATTTTTTGGCATAAACTGTTGTAGTGTTCCCTAAGAATCTGTAGGGTTTTCAGTGTCTGCTTTTGGGGAAGTAGATCACCAGGCCTTTCTTCTGAGGTTTCTCTGGGTAGAATTGAACTTCCAACCTTTTGGTTAGCAGCTGAATGCATGAACTGTTTGTACCATTCAGTGCCTGGTTGCTACCTCTTCCAGAAAGTCATAGAGATGGAATTGCACAATGTGTAGCCTTTTTGAATTGGCTTCTTTCCCTTCATTCATATGCCTCCAGTTGATGTGGAAAGATGCCAATGACTGAGAGTCATGGCTTGGGCTGAGGTTCTGCAGGCAGAAGACCCCCTTCTGAAGCCTCTGCTCTGTATCGATCCCTTCAGCTCCCTTCCCCCTAGGGCTTACTATGTCTGACATTCTTCAGCTGTTTGCTTGTCCTTTCTTTGCCTGTCTCTCCCCATAGAGGGCACACTCCATGAAGACAAGACCTTTGTTTTCTTCTCTGTGTGTGTCTCAGTGCCTAGAGTAGGGACTCACATGTTGCAGGTTCTCAGTAAATATTGGTTGAAGGAACAATTCAGTTTGAAGGTCTGTGTTAAGATTGGAGGAAAGAGGGAAGGTCATGTTTTGAGCTCCCAGTTCCAGCTAGTTTATTTCATGGGCTGCCTTACTTAAACATTGCCGAGGTCCTTTGATTGTGCTGAGGGCAGTGTGAGTGTCAGACAGGTTGAGTTACTCTCTGAGGGCTGTGTAGCCAGGACATGCCTGGCTCAAGGTTTGAACCCAGACCTGACTGACTGGGAAGCTCTCCACTTTCCCAGCTGTCTCCACTGCACTGCCACCAACTTTCTCTCCTTTCTGTCCCCCAAGAACTTCGAGGTGGAGGCTGATGACCTGGTGACCATCTCGGAACTGGGCCGTGGAGCCTATGGGGTAGTGGAGAAGGTGCGACATGCCCAGAGTGGCACCATCATGGCCGTGAAAGTGAGCAGACCATACCCTGGCCCAGCTCTGCTGGGGAGCATTGGAGTTGGGAGTTACTTGGGAGGGCTGCCTGGAGGAGGAGTGGGAGCTGAGCCTGACATAAACCTATAGGCCATTAGTTTTTCATTCAGGCACTGAGCCCTAGGTGGCTTCTGATTGTGTGGCTGCCCTGCATCATTACCAGTGATGGGGCAGACCTTTCCAGGGCAGGCTGGGTGATGGCTCTCAGCACTTGTGGCTCCTGGCCCTTGGTGCAGATCTCTCCCTGAGCTGTGTCCCCCTACTCTTCACAGCGGATTCGAGCCACCGTGAACTCGCAGGAGCAGAAGCGGTTGCTCATGGACTTGGACATCAACATGCGGACAGTTGACTGCTTCTACACTGTCACCTTCTACGGGGCCCTCTTCAGAGAGGTGCGGCCTGGTGAGGGGAGGAGGCTAGGCTGGAGCCCACTCACCTGCCCCATCACACACCATCTGTCTAGCCTGCAATCTATCACCATCATTTTGGCCACTTAGTAAACTTACTGCATGTGGGTGCTGGGACAGCGTGGATGACAGAGTCCCTGCCCTCCCAAATGCAGAACCCCTTGATTCTTAGGAGTCAGATTCCTGGCTCCCCCTCTGGCTACTGCTCTGTGCCTCAGTTTTCCCATCTATAAAATGAAGCCAGTAATGATTCCACCTAAAGTTGTTCTCCACAATATATGTAGCATGGGCCTAACCCAAAAGAAATGCTCTGTGTGGGGGGCTTGTTAAGATTGTTTCCATCAGGTCTGAACTAAGGGGCTTGAGGGATGCAGGGGCCACAGTGGGAGGGGATATATGACAGGTCCTGGGTCTGAGCTGGAGTGAGAGGTGTGGCAAGTGTAGGAGCCTCTGGAAGGGGTACAGGGTAAGGTCCTTAGTCCTGAGCTGGAACTAGGAATGTAGTAGATGCAGTGGCGGCAGTGGAAGGGGCTGCAGGGCCAGGTCCTACAGCTGAGCTGCTTCACTGGCCCTGAAAGCCCCTATTAGAGGGACAGGATAGGCTTGTGTTTTCTTCTCCCCAAAAAGCTCCATGGAATTAGGAATCAGATGGGGAAGATAAGAGGCAGCAGAGAGGATAATGTGGGCCCAGCGCAGAGAGAAGCAGGTGGATTGAGAAGGTTTGAGAGCAGGATGGAAGGACTTAAGTGTGGTGCTCAATAAAGGTAGGGGTTGAGTGATGGGGGACTATGACCAAAGGGGGCCTGGGACTGGTAGAGGGCAGAGTCAGCCTGAACTGACCCCTAGTCTTTATCCCCAGGGTGATGTGTGGATCTGTATGGAACTCATGGACACCTCTCTGGATAAGTTCTACCGGAAGGTGCTGGATAAAAACATGACAATTCCAGAAGACATTCTGGGGGAGATTGCTGTGTCGGTAAGTGGCCGTGGGTCTGACCTGGGGTTGGAGGCACCAACCCTTGCCCCAGCAGCCACAGAGCTGGCTGACCAGGGGACCACATAGGCTTGGAATGTCCTGGTTTCCTTATTTTCATGTTTTTTTCTCTAGTTTCCCTGCATCTTTCTCCCATAGAATGGCTGGTGGGTTTGAATCGCCACAGACCTTTTGGTTACCATTCAAGCACTTAAGCACTGCCCCACCAGGCCTCCTGTCCTAGTTTCCCAGGCTCAGGAAGTTTTTCAAAAAGGACCTGAGTATTTATAGCTTCCTCTTCTCAAAATACCCTTAGGCAGCTCATAGGGATGGGGAGATACAAGCAAGACTAGAGAAAAACTTGATAAAGATAAACTGAATAAGGGCAAGGTTAGCATCCAAAACACATGCCTGCTGAGGCTGTTGAATTTTCCAGAAGAGAGTGAGCATCTCAGCAGCCAAAGTAAAAGGGAAATGTGTAACTGGTGACTCTCCATCCTGATGTGCCCATGTCTGTGGAAGGTCTGTAGGGTTAGGAAGAGGAGCAGGAGGCTGCAGATAGGCTGAGGTTATCTGAGGAGAGCCTTGGAGTGCTGATGGCCCTGGGGCTATCACAGATCTGGGACTCTGGGGATGTTAGGCTGGGGTATTCCTGAATAAACTTAGACCTGAGACCCAGCAGACCTGGAACAAGGGAGAGAAAGACAGATGGCCATCATGTCTGTACCAGGGTTGCCCTGACAATGGGCAGCCCAGGCACTAGGGGTCAGGTTGTGTATGCATGAGGAGAGGAGACAAGTTCATAGGGCAAGGTGATTGCTCTGTGCTTGTTAGTATACTAGAAATAGCCCTCATCTGTCCCCCAATGCAGATCGTGAGGGCCCTGGAGCACCTGCACAGCAAGCTCTCCGTGATCCACAGAGGTATGTGTGGGTTGGGAGAAGGGCTTCATGAAGGGCCCTCACATGGTCTCATGGGGGTAGGGATGAAGGAGAGACCTCATGGGGGCCTTATGGGGAGGGGGAAGGGGTAGGAGCCTCACTGGAGCTAATGGAGGTAGGGGCTGGGGTAGACTAGGGTGGCTCATGGGGGGAATGTTGTAGGAGTAGGCGAATCTTGTTAGTGTACATAATCTTGCCCAGGCTTGCTGGGTGGGTGAATGTCTCCCGATTGTCAAGATGAGTAAATAGGCTCAGAGAGACTCACACATGATGTGCCTGGTGGGGTTGGGAGCTGAGCCCAACTCCCAGTCCAGGGCTTTCTCTTCTCTTTTCTTCCTCTGTTATCTGGTACTACTTGGACATTACTGTCTGTACCTCTTGGGGCCTCCAGGGAGGAGCTCTGACTTCCTAAGCCCAGTGGTGGTAGAATCAGAGGGACCTGGCTCATGTCCTGGCTGTGCCACCACCCATTATGTGACATGAGTAACACCAGCCTCCCACCCCCTCAGGGTCTTCATCTGTGGACAGGCTGTCAGTGATGTCTGCCCCCTGGGCTGATAGAGCCTGTTGTGATCCAGCACAGCTAGGCACCATGCCCACACCAGGGCTCTGTGGACAGGAGCCAGAACAACCCATTCTGTCCCCACAGATGTGAAGCCCTCCAATGTGCTCATCAACAAGGAAGGCCATGTGAAGATGTGTGACTTTGGGATCAGCGGCTACTTGGTGGACTCTGTGGCTAAGACCATGGATGCTGGTTGCAAGCCCTACATGGCTGTAAGTGCTGCCACCCACTGGGCCCTGTGCGAGTCACCTTGGTCAAGCAGTCCATGCTTACCGAAGTCATTATTGTGCTCCAAACTGCTCCCGTTTGGATGGTAAATCACGTAGACCCCTACACAGGGAGGCACTTCTCTCATGAGCTGTGTGGATCCTGCCCCTCTTCCAGTGCCAGGGATATGGGTCCTACAGCCCCTTCCCTAGGCAGAGTTGGGAACCAGGTTATGTTCTCACCATGTTACCCTGCTCCTTACTGACCTCAGTCTCTATGTCTGTCAATTGAGGTGGCATGATCCCTCAGCTTGGGGGAATGGGAAAGAAGATTTAGCTCAGGGGCCTTGGATGCCCCCTTCTGGGCCCTTTCATGCTAGAGTGGGTGATCACCACCTATCATCTCTCCAATAGCCCGAGAGAATCAACCCAGAGCTGAACCAGAAGGGCTACAATGTCAAGTCTGATGTCTGGAGCCTTGGCATCACCATGGTAATGGGGGTCCCGCTTTTAAAGCTGCTCAGGGAGGGGTAGAAGGGAATCGTTCCTGCATCTGTGAGCTCTTGGAATAACATAGTTTGGGTCTTAGAGGGAAATGTTGGCCTCAAACTTTGGGAAAAAAAGTCACCATCAAAATGACCATATAACTAAGAACATTGTGCAGGTGACATTATACCCTCTTTCCTGATGATTAAATTTAATCTGCACAAAAAATCTCTTCACCAAGTGACCCTGTCCCTCTTGTGATAACTTGCCCATTAAATGTTTTTCACTTTGGAAGAATTCCCAAGAGCTCATGGTGATTGTCAGGAAATCACAATTATAGTAAATTAAATGAACTCTTCATACACACATGCTGTCAAAAACAAAACGATGCTTTCAGAGCTTTCTTACAGTGAGAAGTGTATTATATGTATGTGGAGTCCAGGTGTCTTTCATTGGTCTTGGGAGACTAAGTGGGTGAGCTGCTCGACTCTGGGCTGCAGAGCCTGAAATGCCAGTGTTGGGCAGGTGGGGGGGGGGTGTCACAACTGAGCTGTGTGGGGGTAGAGGCAGGGTTCCTCTCTGTACCCATGATTTGCCTCTGGGTTAGGCAAGGCATAGGGATGGCCCTAGGCCTGTGTGTGCCTCTTGTTTTCCCCAGAAGTTCCACACCCCTTCCTGAGTCAGAGCTGAGGGCAAAGGTCAGGGTCAGGGTCATTATTTTTGTATTCACATTTGAGTTTTAGAATGCTTCCGCTGGCAGCAGTGGAGAGTGGATTGGAGAGTCAGGAAAGATTGGCTGGGTGCTTCCCTGTTGGAGTCTAAGCAGTTGTGCTTAATAGTAGGCCTGTGGAGAGACTGCACCAAGTGACACTAGCAGCATGAAGCAGAGCACCGACAAGCCCAAGCAGCACCCCTTCTCCTAATTTTAGCAGGTATAACTGATTGTGTGTGTTCTGAGCGTGGACTTGTCTTTAGAGTTTTGATAGTGTTAGCACTTTCTCTGCTTTCCAACTCCCAGAGATCCCGACCCCAGGGGAATTTCCCACTTGCTCTCACCCCTGTGTTGGAGAGGGGGCTTAGTCAGTAAACAAAACTAACCAGTCAGATGGCGGTTGACTCAGGTTTGGGGACATGTGAGGCAGGGAAAGATGGGATGAAGAGAAGGGTGTCTACTGTAGGTAAGGAGGCCAGAACAGGCCTCTAGTAGCAATGAGCAAGAGTATTCCAGATCTGAGGGCAGAGGGGTCCTGGAGAGGGAGCAGCAGGTGCAAAAGGCCTTGAGGTAGCCACTTCCCATGGTGTACCTGGGTGGATGAATCCGAAGGTAGAGGGAGGGAAGGGTAAGTAGGAGCAGAATGGGGCATGGGTGTAGGGCCAACAGAAGAGTTTTAGATTTTACTGACATTGTTACTTATTACTATTATTATGTGACTGCAACTTTATAAACTATTTTTGTAGACAATGACTGGGAGAGAATTAAAATCAAAATCATTTTGTCAGGGAGGTGGAATTAAGGTAGTATATTTATTTTTCCTTAATATTGTCGAGACATCATTTTTTCAGTTAAACTCTATTTCGTTTTGAAGTAGTGATAAATATTCAAAACCTGAAGGGGTGGTACTGTACTTGCAGATAAGAGTTTTCTAACTCCTGAGTTAAAAAGTAAGGGAAATCCAACTTATAATCACATCACACACAAACATACACATACATACACACACACACATGCCCACATATGCCTGTTCCCCTCTTACCTTTTCCCTTCCCTTCCTTCGTTAAGTTTGTCTAACCATTGTCATTGTTGGGGACCCACCTGTCCCAATGGCCTCCTGAACTCCACATTGGAACTTGGTCAAGTGTGTGCTTCAGGTGTTGAATGAGGCATGTAGGCCACTCTAAAACCCAGTGACCTGGAGCAACAGTGGTCCTTACTTCTCTAGTGTCTGCAGTGTGGGGTGGGCTCTACTGGGTGACTCTTCTGTGTTACCTGGCAGTGGCCGGGCCACTTAAGTGCTACACTCAGCTGGTGGCTGGCTGAGCTGGGGGACCCAGAAGGCTTTACAGCTATGGTGCCCCTTTGTGTGTTCCAGCAATGTGGCTGATTTGGGCCTCCACTCAGGGTGTAGGGATCAGGAAAGTTAGAACTCTTTCCTGGTAGAGGGCTTCCAAAAGGGAAATCCTCTTCAAGTCCTGGCCTAGGGGCTGGTTCAGTATCACTTAGTCAGAGACTGGCTTGGACTCAAGGACTGGGGAATGGACCTAAATCTACAGCAGGGTGGAGTGACAGTCACATAGAGCAGAGGAGGTGGTGGTAAGCATCTTTGGAGACTGGTAGCCATTGTACAGATCAGAGTTTTTCCACAGGTTATAAAATTAATATAAAAATTCAGAGGAAAAGTGAAAGTAAAAGGAAGACACGAATCAATCACAGAAAGACAAATAATTGTATTAGACCACTATTGTAAAAAGTCAAGGAAAGGTTTATACATGGAAGGAAACTTTCTTTTTGGTTACCATAGATGGGAAGGGATGAGAGGGGGGAAAAAATGAAGTTGTCAAGATTTTCATTTTACTTGGATCTACAATCAACACCCATGGAAGCAGCACTCAGGAAATCAAACAGTGTATAAGGGACTTCTGGTAAGATGGTGGAATAGGCAGACTAGCTATACAGACCCTCTTCAACAAAGAAAAGATAAACCAGTTGACATAGATACAGAAGCTAATCCTGGAGCTCTGAGCTTTGAAAGAAAGGATATACAGAAGTGAATTAAACACTGACTAGTAGAAGAACCTGAATGAAAACAGTGAGTAAAGAGACAAATGGAGCTGCAGACTATCAGTTATCCTGACAGCACAGACAGCCTGAATATTTCCAAGAGGTGTTAGGATCTGAGAATTACCTTAAAAATTGGCCCTGCTCACCAAGGGCTGCATGGAGGACTGTGCTGGTGGCTCATGACTAAAAAGGGAAACAGCAAAGAAGGAGACAAATTGAACTGTGGACTTTTGGCTGTATGGAGAGTGCAGCCATTTTGAATATTTACAAACGGTGGCCAGTTTGGATATTTCAAGTGACACCATTCTTGTTCAGATTTCAGGCATCTAAGAATGGGCTCTGTTTGCTGAGGATAACACTGACATACAGGAGGCTGACAATTGGAAAAGAGACAGGTGGTGAGTGCATAAGTGCTGCAAACTTGCAAATAGAAGAGCACAGTACCCTGCTTACTCAGATAACATCCAAACAAAACAAAGAAAATGAAAATCTTGGACAAATCACTCCAACATATAATCACCAATGAAATATAAACACAAAAATGTCATAATATCTCAGAGACAACAGACCATCACAGTCCACACAAAGCAGCAAGATAAAACAGTAGAAACAAGAGACCAGGATATAGACCCAGAACACACACATCCCTGAGGAGGAAGCAGCATTGGAAATCCCTGATAAGGAATTCAAAAGAATTACATTTAGATACCTTCAATGGATTGAGAGACAGATCAAGGAAAACACTGACAAAATTGAAAGCACAGAGAAAACCATAGAACAATATCAAAATACAATACAAGAACAAAATGACAAAATGGAAAAATTAGAAATGATACTAAATCTACAGATAGAAATCCAGAAGATTAATACTGACTTTTCAGAAATAGATAACGCATTGAATGGGCAAAGAAGTAGAATTGAATCAAAAGAAGACAGAATTAGTGAGACTGAAGACAAGTACCTCAATGTTTCTTTGGAAAGGGATCAATCAGAAAAAAGATCAAAACAAAATGAAGAAAGCCTAGGGTTCATGTGGGATACTATCTAAAGGAATAACCTATATGTATTCGGAATTCCAGAACAGAAAGGGAAAAATAAAATCACAGAATTGTCCAAGGTTAGTTGGAAGAGAACTTCCCGGATATGATGAAAGATGAGAATATATCCATTCAGGAAGTCCAACAAACTCCACATAGGATAGACCCCCAAAAGAAAATCACCAAGGCGTATTGTGGTGGTTATGTTTGTGTGTCAACTTGGCTGGGCCTGGTTGAGTGGCTGGGCAGCTGAATGTAGTTATTCCCTATAGTGGAATGTACTGGAGCAGCTGAGTAGCTGCTTTAGGGATGTGGTCTGCTTCCTGTATATAAGAAACAGCTTTGGGAATGGTCTCTAGCTTATGGCATGCTTGAACCCTGCATGTAGCTGTGTTGTTGTTCAGCAGCCTGCCACCCTCTGCCAACCTTGGGACTTTCAATGGACTTAAATTAATGGCCTGCCAGCAGCTGTCTGAGTGAAGAAAACCCTCTAGCTCTAGTGGGCTAGGAACAGGAGGCAAGCCCAAGGTTGAGGGGCTTTCATCCAGCCCCTAGAGCTTGGCACTTTGAACTTGGACTTAAAGCCTCCAAATTGTAACAGTAAACTCCTGTTTGTTAAGGCCATCCCATTTGTGGTGTATTCTTGTCAGAGCGGCACTAGGTAACAATAAAATACATATCATTATCAAACTCACCAAAACCAAAGACAAAGAAAGAATTCTGAAAGCAGCATGGGAAAAAGAAAAAGTTACCTACAAAGGGCAACCATTGCGACTAAGCTCTGATGTCTCAGCAGAAACCATGTGGGTTAGAAGGCAATGGGATGGTATATATAAAACCCTGAAAGAAGAAAATTTCCAACCAAGAATTATATTCTTGGTAAAATTGTCCCTCAAATATGATGGTGAAATTAGGGCGTTTCCAGATAAGCAGAAATTAAAGGAATTTGTTAAAACCTGACCAACCTTACAAGAGATGCTAAAGGGAGTTCTTTTGACAAAGAACCAACAACAGCAAACAACAACTGACCATTAACACACATGAGAACATAACCCAGAAACCACAGTTATGAAAGCATCCAAAGTAAATAAGCCTACAAGATTGTAAACATGGAACAAGAGACATCAATTGGCAAATGAGGACAACTACAAACCAAAAAGAGGGAAAAAATTGTGTAATTATAGAACTTC